CTGTCGCCCCCCCCCCCTAAAAGCCCTAACCTCCATCTGGTAGTTTCTGTCGTCGATCTCGATCAGCCGGTCGATGAAGACGCTGACATGAACGTCGACCGCCTCCCCGCCCTGCGACGGCGCGTAGTTGCCGTTGCCCAGGAAAGGCATGCCCTGCTGGCAGCGCGCCCCGGGCGGCGCGACGGCCGAGAGGGCTGCGGGGGAGGGGCGTGGGCGTGCAGCCGTGTTGTGTGCAAGGGGCCGCGATTCGGGTTTAACCGTGCTTCTGGGGCGCTGCTCGGCAGCTGCATAGCAATTATGGTGGTGGGCAGCGCTTTCACCAGCAGCAGCTACTGAGCCGGCGCCAACAATGGCGGCGGCCGCCAGCGCCAACAATGCCGCCAGGGGCCGACTCGCAGCGCGCACGGAGGTGAAGCCACACTGCTGCGTGCCGCACAAAGGGCGCCGAGCATGGTGCCACAAAACATAATGCTCGTGCTATGAGGACGACGGCGCCGCATACCTAGCAGCAACAGGAGCCATGCGCCGTGGTGCAGCGGAGCAGCGCGGCATCCGCTGCGAAGGCGCATAGCGCCCGTACGACGACTCCAACCCCAGCGATAAGAAGGCCACTGAGTCGCAGAGAGGATATTAATCCTGTCTCAGGCCGGCCTCATCAGCCTGGGCTGATACCGTACAAGTTAGAAACAAAATCCCGATCGAGAGGGCCCGTGATAAGAGCGTTGTGGTACATTCATGCAATGAAATACGTGTTGACATACTGCACATGCCTGGATGGTAAGGTGTGCGTGGCGCCGAGGCGGCACTCGGGTGACGCTCACCGCCACTGAAGTGATGAAGTCTACGGCATCGCAAACCTGGTAATTGGCCAGTTGTAGCAATCTAAATGCAGCGCTAATACGCACTTCCCGTTCTTGCTCCTGATGTTGGCGTCAGAATGTACGTGAGCAGGCAAGTGACCACTTCCACAGGCGGTCCAGCAGGTGTACGCTTGCAGTGGGTCGCATCTGCTGGGGATATGCGTGCTGATCCAGGGTTATCACTGCAACTGGGGATGGTGTTGCAGATGTCTTTCTTAGCTCCTGTGGTTGCGCCTGGGTCATTCGCACCGTGAGCCTGCTGTCGGTGCCGGACCTGTCTGCCCTCATGGTCGCTCCCCACAAGCGGGATAACCGCGGCTGCAGCTGCCAGTCTCGCCCCCACGCACACATCTACAGCCCCTCGCCTCACAAACCCGTTGTGAGCCTGGCAAGCACGTGCGATAATTGCTGATGTCCTGGAATCAAAACCACAGCGGCGCCAAGTGGGTTCCTCTGGCACCTCCCCTGCCGCCCCCCCGCGCACCCTCTCCCGAGCCCCACTGCGCACGATTATCCGCCTCCCGCGCCCTTGTCACGATTTCCCCACACTCTGACCCTCCATGCGTCCCGTCTCCGCGCCGCCGCCCGACTGTACCCTCGTACGCCTGCCAGCATGCAATATAAGCGGTCAACCCTTGCATTTACACATGACCTTGGGTCAGCAGTCACCAGTGTCAGCTATCCTGGCAGCTTCTCGATCCCTTTCAGCCTCTCCAGGTCTGGGGCGGCCACAGAGTCGTGCAGCCAGTTGAGGTACGAGGCGCTGCCGCCCTGGATGGGCAGCGCCACCACCTCGGGCTCGTCGTAGGGGTGGAGGCGCTTCACCTTGGGGGTGGGCGGGGGCGATAGGAGGTGTGGCTTTGAATGGATTGATATGCGTGCGCGTGTGGAGTGTGGGGCGCGCGTGTGATTTGCGGGGTAAAGAGCGGGGACCGCATGAGCGGCAGGCACTGCCTCACAACCTTGCGGCTTGATTCGCGTTGGACGGCGGGCCGCGATGACACAGGTGGCAAGGAGCGTGGCAATAGCGCGGCGTGAGAGGTGGCGCAAAGTCCCCAATGCCAGCTCACCTCACCCCCCTCTCCCCTGGCCCGCGCCAATGTACTCTCCTCAGGCCTGTCTAAGGCGGCCTGCATCCGAGCACCCACCCCCTCCCCCGGTCGATAACATTTTTGATTTGTAGGCGCTGGGCGTCCAGTCACCTGCTGCGTCAGCTCCCCCAGCAGGCTGCCCTTGGTCTTGATGACTAAGAGGAGCTCTGAGTCACGGTTGACCTTCCCCTCCCACCAGTAGACCGACGTCAACCCCGGGATGACGTTGACGCAGGCGGCCAGGTGTGATGACACCAGGGCATCGGAGAGGTGGTCGGCTGTGTGGGGGTTTGTAAGTTGGTGGATGTTTTGTATCTGTGACGGGTGTGGGTCGTGTGTATGTGTATGTGTGTGTGTGTGTGCACACGTGCGCATGTGTGCGTGTGTGTGTGTGTGCGTGCACGCGCGCACGTGTGTGTGTGTGTGTGTGTGTGTATGTACGTGCCTGCATGCTGAAGCGTAATACGCGTGCAAACCATGTATGCGAGTGCTTGCAGGTACATGCGTGTGCAAGACTGCTGCACCCAGCAGGCTACTGAGATGGATCCCCGCATGTGCACGCCTGCCAGCTGCGAGAGGTACGGCAGAATTGGTCCGCAGCTGACTTCTCGTCCACTCAGTGACCAATCGACCCACCCACCCGTCTTCTGGTCTGGCACGGTCACATAGACCATGATTGCGCCGGTCGGACTGTCACCAGTGCCAGACACGCCGGCGCCCGCGGCTGCTGAGGCGCCTGACATGGCGGCTGCGCGCTGCGAGAAGCCTGGTGGCATGGAATGCAGGAAGTGGGTGCATCGTGAGTGCAAGACCCAGCTTGTAAGGTGTGGGTAGAGCTTGTAAGGCGAGGATCCATTCCTTGGACCCTCGGTGCGTACACCTCCTGGACATCAGTGGACACGCCAAGCCGGGCCGCCATCACCGGGCGACTGTAGCTCAGACCGCGGCTAGCACTCGCCAAAGCGCCGCGCTGGAGCCGCTCTGGCGGGCGCTGTGGCCTGCGGGGACCCTTGGGCAGCGCACCTGCGGTCGGGCAGGCCAGGAGCAGGCTGCTGAGGACGCCGCGCCTGCGCAGCGCCGGCGGCCCGCGGGCGGCGGTCGCGGCGGTGCGTACGGGCCGCGGCGGG